TCTCCCTTCTCCTCTCAGGATCTTTTTTTTTTTTTTAAAGGAAACATAGCTAATGGATTTAATCACTAATTCACAAGTAGAGATTTCACTTGCATATCTTAGAAAGTTATAAAGACATGTTACATTTTTTAATTGGCAAAAATATGTTACACAGACTTTTAATGTTCATAATTTAGGATTTATCACATAAATATAACATTTATAAATATTTATATCCTTTATTTGCAAAATTATTCTTCTTAAAACATTTTCAACAAAATTAAATTTGTCATATGTATCTTAAGGAAAAAAATACCACCTACTTTAACACGTATTACTAAACTTTAATGTGTGATTATACCAGTGCCACCAAATTAGGAAAAAAAAAACATATAACTTCTGCATTAGGATATATATTGTCATTATTTATAATATACATTGATCATATACATTTATTCTATACATTGATCATATACATACTCTTGTTCACTTCTCAGTCATTGTCAGAACCATTTGGAAGTAAGAATACCAATGCATCATTGAAAACATGCCCAAATCCCCTAAGATGGTATACCCCATACATCATTACATGTATCTGATTAGGAGTCAGTCCATTAAAAGTAACAGCCATATCTGAGCAGCACCCTTCTACTACCTGGTTGGGATGATTAGTCATTGCCTCTTTAATAAAAAACCCAACAGATTTGGTATTAAACACATCTTTTCCATCGGCATCTACTGCATTTTCTGCAAATACTCCAGCATATTTCAGGTAGACTGCTAGCTGCTTATCTTCAGCTATCTTCCAAATCATCCCTCCCTGTTCAGGATACTTTTCAGGGACATTGAGAAGGCTATTAAGTCTTTTCGTTGATTCCATGCTTAACATAATTACTCATTCCATACTCACATATTCAAGGTCTCCAGATTTTATAGTGTGGCCTAGATAGAAAGGTTGTGATGGATCCTATTTTAATAAAAAAAAAAAAACTTCAGGTTTTCAATAATAGCAAATGTAGTGGGGTCCGCAAGGAAGAACCAGTTGTATTGATCTTTGTACTTATCAAATGCGTATTTATAGGCTTTTTTCATCATTAACCACATGTCCTTTGTTTCCATGTTAATCGACTCAAAACACTTTAACGTTTTTTTTTTCCCACTTCTCTCTGCCAGTCAACCTTCCAAGGCCAGTCCCACATTCCATTCCAGAGCCCTGAGCTCAGAATCTTTCATTTATGCCAGACACACCATTTTTTTGGCCTCTGAATTCCCTTCATATTTGGAAGAGTGCTTTTCATTATGCATAACCATGGCTACTTTAGATAAACAAACAAAAACCACATCCACTGCAAGGCATAGAAAAGTGCTGGACTGGTCCCACAACACATAACTAATGACTACCTCTCCTTGGTGTGTCCTGTAAGCCTAACCTCCAGCATCTCCTCTACTCCAAAGCTGTTTAATAGGGGCTCACCTTCCCTGAAACGCCCATTGGTCAACTCTGCTTGGAAGCAGGACACTGAGGTAGAGAGGTCAGCAGCTGTCCTGTTGTCCCTTCCTTATGTAAACACAGGCTCTGTACCTTTGGCTGCTTGGCCAGCCCAAGGCTATTCATTTGCTGTTAGTCTCTCGATTTGGAAGTGTGGACTTGGTTGACTTTGGGCTCAGACAGTGCTAAGCCTGTGTTCTTCTCTGACATGTCTTCCCAGGGAAAGGTCCCCTTGGGAAAAGGCTGTCATATTGTCACCTCCACCTGTTATGATTGCAGCCCTTGCTCACACACACTGTACCATGCCCAGGGCTGAGAACTGTGCATGCATCACCTTATTTAGGTATCCCAACAACTCTTGGAGTTAGCACTATTATTTTCCCCATTTTACAGATAAATGGACGCTCAGAGAGGTAAATAACTAGTTCAAGGTCATATAATAAATAGTATCTAAAATCTCGCTGGAAACCTTTGCCACTTGAAGTGTGGGTAACCA